AAAAGCCCTTCTAGACCTCAACCAAACTTGAACACTGTTTGAGCTGCAGGGTAGAGGTGTTTTCCTAACCGCGCCATCCGCGCCTAGGTGTTCTGCTGGCTCATCTAAAGAAACGGGCAGCGCGGGTACTTGCGATCGCATGGTCCCACTACAGGCCCGCCACTTCCTCTGGCCCACGGCCACATTCCTGCCCATCTCACTGCGGCTCGTAGTACAGGTGCACCTCCATGCTTGAGATGCAGGTTTGCTGGCCATGCACACTCGGTCATCCGATAACTGCCGAACAACAAATCAAAAAAAATAATAGGGAATCCCTCGTCATATTCGTCATCTAGCCGTAGATGCATGAATTCGGCGGCTGACATCGCAGGCCTCATAGGTGAAGTCAATAAGGCCGTTGTCCCTCATCTTGCCCTGAAGTGTTTCCCCGTCTGCTCCGATCAAACCCCCGAGCTTCCATGAGCAGTGCACAAACTCACCTGAAACCGTGGGATAGTGCCTTGAGTGGGCCGGCTTCCTCGTCCTCGGAATTGTAGATCCTTGCAAGCATAAGGTGTGGCACCATGACAGTCTGTTGGATGGATCCATGATTTCCGGCACACTATCTAATGCCCTTGAGCCAAGACGCTGGAAGTCGGAGTCCGGCATCCAGGCCTGGTCGAAGCCCAGCCTCTTGCGGCCCTCAGACAGCACCTGTCAAACAGAAGCACACTGCAGCCCAGGGCAAGACAGCATGCCCTAGATAACTGCCAGAGCATCTCCACTCACGCGGCCTCCTTGGCATCTGCGTCAGCCTACAAGTACAGCGCTGGCCATAGATGCATGTCTGACTTCTGCAGCAACGACCGAACAAAGACACATAGGACTCACATAGGTATGACATCACATGACGACACGCCCTCCAAGAGTTTGGAAGCTCCTTTGCAATTTCCAGCCTTAATCATGAAGCGGCAGCGGGCACCCTGTGCTGGAGCGGTGAACCTGAAAGTTGCGCTCGCAAGCACAAAGCTGGGTGCTTGGGAGGAGCTTTTGTTCGTGTGGGAGTTGCATGCGTCCACAAACTCTCAGGTTTCGTGACCTCAAGCTGAGTCCAGGGCTCGATCTCCACCACGTCGCGGGTCAGGACCGGCGTCCTTGGCTCGAGGCCACGAATGCAGCTCGACAGTCTAGGACTCACAAGTCTCACAGGTCAAGCCCAAAGGCCATGGAGTGGCGGAGGCACCGGCTTGCCCCCGCAACGCCGTGCGGGACTCCTGGCACTGGCTCAACTTGCTTACACTCCCTGAAAAGCTGAAGCTTCTGACACGATCAACATAACGCATTGCACGCCGACCCTCAAAGTTGGAATGTGACCCTTGCCTGGCGGGGCTCGGAGCGCAGGCCCACAAAGGACAGAGAGGCCCCCAGGAAGGCCACCAGCAGGACCTCAAATCCAAGCGGGAAGGGGTGAGATGATACGCGTATGCTGCTGGCTGCTGCTGGAGCGCGGCTGACAACAGGCTCGACTTGGCCATGGCTATGGGCTGTGGGAAGGCTTTCAGCTGCGTGCCGGTGCTCGAGCCTTCTGCTAGCCAGCTAGCAGCTGAAGAGCCGCTGAAGAGCAGCTTGACTCAAGCAACCTGCAAAACAGCCTCTGGATCAGAAAGCTGTTTCGGAAGCCCGTCCGCGCTTTTTTCTGCCATGGGAGGGGCCTGCGATGCGAAGCATCAGCTTGCAGCCTTCTTGGGAGAAAGGCTTTCAGCTAGCTAGCCTGCCAAAA